CTTGAAATGTGGTGATTTGCATGGTATAATCGCGGGTATTGATGCAAGACCGTGTCCGTCCCACATATGTGTGTCCGTCCCATGTATACATTTTTGTATGCACCTTTGTATGGCTGTATACAGATGTGTCCGTCCCGCATATACGTGTCCCACCCAAGCGTGTCCGTTGCATAGTAATAGTGTGTACAAGGGGATTAGTAGGAAGCAAGAACAGATAACTAAATCAATCTCACTTTCGGATTTCATTCCTTCTCAACACTCACTACACTACCAAGTTTCGTTCGCTATTCTCAATTGTTTATGAGCCCAAGCTACGCCGACAACATCGACAAGCTCGTGGAAGATAACTTCTTCCACTGGGAGTTCAACCATGCGGATGAAGCTCGCTCGGAAGGGTCTGCTCCCGCAGATCATCAAGCCCGAGTTCGATCAAGTGAGTGATCGCTCCACGGCGGAATGGAATACCAACGATCTGAAGGCACTTGGTGTTATCGCTGGAGACGTCAGTCTCACGTACCAAGTTTACGCCCGTGGAGCATTAACTGCCGTTGAGGCGTGGACGATGCTCGAAGAGCACTTCAATAAGAAGATGCTCAAGAACCGGCTTCTGGTCACCAAGACATTGAACAACTTCAAGATGGAGCCCGGAATCAAGTTCGCTTCCCACGTCGATCAGTTCAAGGAGATCGTCCGCCAGATGGAGACGATCGGTGAGGCTCTGGAGGAGGCTCGCCAGCTCGTGTTGCTCCTTGGCAGTTTAACGGACGAGTACAAGATGATCAGTACTGTCCTCGAGAACACGCTCAACGTGACGTTGGCCTACGCGATCCAAGCACTCTCTGGTGTTCAAGCCTGAATCGTCAACTCCGACTCAGTAAGTCCAAATCGTCGAGCCATTCCATTGCGAATTCGAGAGGGCTTGAGGCCTTGAGCCACCATTTCACGACCGTAATCCTTCAGCCGTGGAGTCAACTTTACCTTTTGGGGCTCCTTCACCAGCGTTCATGAGCACCAGACTCCATGATCGTCACGCGGTTAAGGCCTTGACACGTGAGAACCTTCCCCTTCCATGGGCACGCGTCATGCGTTGCTGCTGTATTGCATGTTTCCGAGAAACATCTTAACAGTTGGTACCGCATCTTGTGTGGCTTGGTCAGCGCACACACGACGCATGGAACCAGCTGACTCTTGACAATGATGACCACCTCCATGTCTTCCATGAGCAGTTGGGAGCCCTCTCGAGCCATGTCGCTACAGACAGTCGCCCACTTGGTCGTCGTGGGCATCTTCGAGGTGGGAGACGAGGGGGTGGGAGTTCAGATTTCAGTGTTTTTTTCTGTATGAAAAAAAAAGATTCTTGCTAGGATACAAACGACTGTGATGGTTCAGCGACTGTCAAGGCACAGGTCGTGATTGTATGTGTTGTCACATTTTTCTCTGTGTACAACCTTGGTTCTGTGTGATTTACCAGTTCTGTCATGATACGATATTACTCGAAAATGATTGGATATAACCAGGACCACGCGTAGGCTGGGAATGCTAGCGACCATTCAAACTTTTACTTCCAAGAAAAGCTCTGGATTTTACAGAACTTTGTATACTTCCACTCGTACGTAATAAATGAAAGATCGAAAAAATCTCTTCAAACCCCGAAGTTATGGCGGAAAGAGCGCGCTCCCCAGGTCACCATTGAAAAATATTCAGCATCTTTAACAGCCGACACTCGCCATTTCGGCATGTATGGCCACCTCTACTATCGTTCCAAGCCAAACTCGCACCCTCTGCATCAGGGACGATACGGACTGGGGATATTTATCCGAGCGTCAGAGCGCTTCAAAGTGGTCGCTCTCATGGATCACTAGTTTAAAGAGGTAATATATTGTCTTTAAGA